TTATCCGAAATAACGTCAGAGATATAGCGAGCAAAACACTATATGCAGAAAAATATTTAAGCACTGTCTAATGAATCCTAACCAACGACGATTGCGCGAACTGCAAAAAACCGCACTGAATGTTATGTTTTTTGTCAACGCAGTCAGAGTCTCGACACTTGGTGTCGAATTGGACTTATAATGGAGTACCTGATTGAATTCTCCTTAGTACTCATGTTTTGTAGTGGTTGAAGTAAGTTACCCGTTGCGGTGGTAAAACACTGGCCCTGAGGTATTTGGCACATTCTCGTTTTCTTGCGTGTTAACAGAATTTACTGTTACCTGTAGTTCTATATTTCTGTAACCTGTTTTCAGACATATTCCTGTATTCCTATTCTAGTTTTTTAAGATAGTATTTAGATGCAGGGTCTTTTTGAAATGCAAAAGCGTTGCTAGATTCTAAAGACGCTGCCATGATCTTCAACATATTGCCAGTGTCTTCAAGTTCCAGATTGCAATGCTTTGTGTAGAACTTGTTTTTTTCTCTCGCAAAATTGATTTGATCCTAGGGAAATCTTTTGGGTAATTGAATGATGGGTAATTGCTGTGGAAGGAGTTACGGTTTCTTTGCTTGCTTGGATGACAATGATCCTTGGTTTAGAAGGATAATGTAATTTAATTTATTCGACGCCGCAGACCAATGTTTTTATCAGTATCATCTTAATTGATAGTGATTTATTTTGGTAACCGTTTACCTTGCACTTTATATTTTCAGGGCGATTTTCATTACGAGTACACGGAATGCGACAAGTATGGGGGAAGATGGAGGGTGGCTGTTCCCTCGAGTCCCGACAAATGCAAAGGCGGAAGCCCCCCTGCGGCAGAGCGCGGTCCGGACTGTTCGTTCACTTGCGGCCCAGGCGAGGTTTTGGATATTACGACTCAGGTGTGTGTCCCGTGCCCGGCAGGCACCTATAGCCTGGGCGGTGGCGTGCGTTTTGAAGATTTCACGAGCTTACCTTCCGGCTTCAGCATCAATAACGAGAATCCTAGACTACGAAATTCGGAGCCTGCTGCTGTCACAACGGACACCACACCGCAGCCACCTGTCAACTGCAGTTCGTAAGCATTATTCCTTTTTGCAGCTGATTTCTTGAACCTAACAATTACCTATTGTTATATAGGATTGTAGCTAATTTCTCGCGAGAAATGTGAGTTCGAATTTCTTCATTGAGTGATTTGACCTTAAATTTGATGAACATTTTTAGTATCGTAGCTTCAGACTGCATCTATTAATAACGTGATTCCTTTGCTGCGTTAGAGGCCAAGTTCAGCCAGTGTCATGATGCTTGAGTGGCCTTCATCTTTGTTCTATGACAATGGGTGATCATGATTGTAATCGTATCATTAATCGTAATCGTATAATTATCATCACGGTAGTAATGATAATCAAAATAGTCACAATCAAAATTTGCGACCGTTGGAAATATGTCGGTCTTCTTTACATTTTCATGATGCGGCTGTTTCTGACGTATTTTTTGTCATAAATTTAATGGTTGGATGCTGATCTCCATTTGGTTGGCTATGTGTTGTCACCTATTTGCTTCCCACAGAGTAGTACTTATTTATCAACTTCGTAAGGAGGACGAAGGGTAAGAAATCCTGACAGAAGCTCCAGGCCGGAACCTCTCGGTTCTAAATTCGACGCTCTACCGACTGATCAACTTCGGTCATGATTATAATCAAGATCATTGTGACGCTTTTTATTTTTTCCATTTGTCATCAGTATGTATGTATGCCAGTCAGATTCACGTTCACATCCTTCCTCATTCTCTCGTCAAATTTGTATGTCTTTACAGTTTTTATTCTTCATTTCCTTATTCCAGTTGTCGTCTTCATTTTTTAAAATGTTCCCTACGTATCGTTCTGACCTTCATTTCACTTTACCATGTTCAAAAGAATCACTGGAAAACTTTGCTGCTTATTGCTGTTTTTCATATTATCGTATGTTATGTCTATTATGTCTCTGTTCTTCATCTTATCTCGATTATTATGGGGTCACTGGCTTTTCTTCCCTCCAAAGTAGATAAATGATTACCGGTTTGCAGGAAGGAAACATGAAACTACAGGCTATTTTACCGTAGTTGTTCATATACCCTTAGAAAGTAGTACGTCACTTCTGATCGATGATATAGAAACGGCGATATACACCCTACTATCAGCCTTGTGAAAGAATGGTTGCGCCCGGTCATGCATGGGCAATAAAGACAAACTTCGCAACGACTGCATGTATTTATTTCCTTGCCATTCTGTACTTCTGCATGGACGGCTAACGAAAAGAAACCGAAACACTTAAAGTTGCATTTGTCAGCACTGGGCCAATACGATTGATGGTAAATGAGTCGACTTTGGCTGAGAATAATCACTGGCACTGGTGTATAAAGCGATTTTAATTTATGGTTTTGCATACTAGTTTGGAAAACGTAGCATTATGGTACTCTCACACTGCTGTTTAACACCATATAGTCTGTCGATGATAAGCAGTCGTCTTAATAAGCACAGTTATCACTGTATTTATATTCTTTATCTCGTTACCGTCGTTACAATCATTTTCGTCGTCATCGTATATCGACATTACCGTATTCATGATTGTTCTTGTCTTACAGTCATCATTCTCATTTTCAGTAGTACAGATAAATAGTCATTATCTTCTTTATGTATGTCATCACTATTATGTTCAGTATCATCAACTTTATTTGCGTCGTCATTATCATAATCATCGTCTTTAACATCGCCGTCACAATATTCTCTGTAATCATTATCGTCGTCGTCATGATCTTCATAATCATCGTCTCCGTCATGGTTGTCTGATAAAAAACTGAATAGCATCGTTTTTTGCCATCATTATCATCGTTGTTCTTTTATCATTGTCAGGATTATGAAAATCTTAAAAATGATTACATTCACTGTCATTATGGCCATTATTTTCAGCAGCATAAACATATAATATAAGAAATTATCGTTACTGTCATAAATATCATTCATTCATTTGACATCGTTTTATAAACAGTGCTGCCATCATCGTCGTTATCGTCATTATTGGAATCGTTATTAATCATCACTGTCATTAGTCATTTTATCAGTCATCCTCATTGCTTCTTTCATGAATGTCATAATCATTTTTGCAGTCATTATCGTTGTGATTTTTATTATTCATTATCGCAGTCACCGTTGCTTTCTTCATCGTTATCATTGACGTTTTCATCGGTGTCGTAATTATTTTCTAGTTTGTTCTCATTTTCTTTATCATGGTGGTCCTATGATTATTGTAGTTTTCATCACGGTTATGATAATTGGTTTAATAACGAGGAAATTTATACTGTTACTGCTATGGTTAACCGTGAGCAATCGGTTTTATTGATGATCAGGTTATTATCAGAGCGTTTATATTATCTTTGTTCTGACCTATTGATTAAAAAAGTAAATCTAACAGCAGGAAGCAATTGTCTGTCATATCTCCAAATTCTTATGGCATAGTTGCACCGTTTCCTTACTTATAGAGGACCTTAAGCACAGCAGAAAACATTTACAGTATTTGATGCAGGCCTTGCCATCTGCCAGATCACGATCTATCTTTCGTTACTTCGTGATGGCGCTGTCGAAATAATTCAAAGTCTATGAAAAATAATGATTGTCGAGATCGTTTTAACGTGTTTGCCTTGTAATTATGTTGTTTTGTAACTTAGTGCTGCTGCTCTGCATGTCTGTCTTTTTATTATTATTGTTGTGGGATGGCAGAAGTCGCTGTAGATTCCGCCTCTTCAAGGTAAACCAGCTGTATTGTGATCCGTTGGTTACCACTTGTACACCAGTTCTGTAACATACTTGCATATCTGTGTATCTGTTATACCGTATTTCCTAATTTTAGCTTTGGCTGGCGAGTACATAACCGCTACATCGTATATGTGCCTGGTCCCTGTCTGTCGATTTTATCATACAGCGTGAAATTAGTCAAGCCTGGTTTCGTATTTTACACTTATACCTACCCCGATAAGAACACATTTTTCAGCTTTCAGGTAAGCGACCTGAGTGTTGGTTGTATTGTTTCGTTATTGCGCTTACGTTACTTCTGTATCGACTCTTCGCGTCTAGGTCCAAAACGAACAGTGCATGAGCATCGACGATTTCGTCAAACGC